AAGTAGCTAGTAGTGAAGTAGTGAAGTAGCAGTGAAGTAGTGAAGTAGCTAGTAGTGAAGTAGTGAAGTAGTGAAGTAGCTAGTAGTGAAGTAGTGAAGTAGCAGTGAAGTAGTGAAGTAGCTAGTAGTGAAGTAGTGAAGTAGCAGTGAAGTAGTGAAGTAGCTAGTAGTGAAGTAGTGAAGTAGCAGTGAAGTAGTGAAGTAGCTAGCAGTGAAGTAGTGAAGTAGCAGTGAAGTAGTGAAGTAGTAGAACAACATTTCTTTTTATATGGATTTAAATTCGTTGTTTGAGTTGTGTGCTTTTTGACCGAATTTCGATCTGCTTCTTCGAGTTCATTTATAAGTGAAAGTGGATTTTTGTGAAAGTTTTCCGAACCCTGAAATTTTCTGAACCCTGAAATTACCTTCTTTAACTTCTAAGTTACCTGGATTCGTTCCAAAAAGCCAAGAAATTAAATATTTGGCAGTCTTTTGAAGTACAGACTTCGAAGGCATTTTGAAAGCTTTATATTTTTTAACTTCAAATAAACATTCTGGATTGGAAAGATATCTGTACAAACTTACAAGGTTGGTCTGCCTACTCTCTTAAAAACCTTTAAAAATTGCAATGCAAAGAGATGAATCTTGTTGTTTTAGTTTGTTTAAAAGAAAGTTAAAAATTCCGTCAGCTATAAAAAGAATTACACCAAGTCTTCAAAGAGCTTTTGAAAAGGAATGGAAATATTTTCATTTATGACAGAATTAAAAAAATAACAGAATTCAGATTCGTATGACATTATTTGTTACTTACCGTTTGTTACTTGCAATAATCTGTTTCACTATTTACCAAAAGCAAATTAAATTGATTGATAAATGTCACAACAAATATATCACATAAAAGTAGAGTCTTTCTTAAAATGTTTAGATAAAAATTAACCAATAAAATCTATATAAAATTTGATTAATAAGTTTTTAGTTCAATGATCATCCAATCATGATCATCCAATCATGATCATCTAATCATGATCATCCAATCATGATCATTAATTTCAAACCTTTGAAAATACTTTAAAGCATATCGATATAATTTTACCGCTAAATCGTTAAAACAATTTTACCAATATTCCAGTAAGTTTTTGATAAAAGCTCAACTCTGATTGGGATAATATTAGATATCGCTGAAGATTTTGGTCACCTTATTTAGAATCATTCAAAAGACTTAATTTTATATGTGAATGATTCTATTGTTGGTATAATTACAGTTAACGAAGATATTTAATTTTATAAACATATAAATGTAGCTATGAACAAAGAAAAATATTGTTTACGAAAATGGTTTAGCAATTTGCAAGAGTTTAATAAGTTGATTTGTAGAAAAGAACGCAAATTTATGGTTTATTGCGTATTTTTTCAAGTTTTTTGATCGATTTAGGTCTTGTTTCAAGATAATTTCTAACCTGAAACAGTTAGGTAAAAAAAAAAACCAGCTCTCAGACAATAATAAATAAAATTCTTAAATGGAGGAATGAAAGAATATTAGTATGGCTGGTATGCACTCCCAAAAGGTGTTAGTTTTTACTGCAAAACTTGCTTCTTTCAAGAAAACTAGTTATTCAAAAAGCGAAGATGTATTTTGCAACTCGAAAGTTGCTCATAAGACAATCAGTAAGCATGAGCAATCTGTTGAACATAGTAATGCTACCTCTATCTTTGTTAATTGAAGTGAATGCATGATTGATTGCAAATTTGTTAAACAGTTTCAGAGTAAAAAAAAATATTGGAAAAATGGGTTGTGTCGAGGGGTATCTGTCGCCAAATTTTTTTCTTCCACGTAATGTGTAATTATTCGTATAATTGAACCTATTATTATATACATATCGGGTCGACACGGAAAAATCCGGTCAAACTTAAATTGAGATTTCTCTAGAACCATAAATGTTTTTATTTCAATTTTTTTATTATTAAATGTGTTTACATAAATTAGAGTTTCAACTTAATTTTAAGGGGCTTAATGGGTTTCTTGGCAAGAAATCGAACTTTATAGCGGATCTATTCCATCATTTTACAGATTTTTTCTTTTTTCACCATATTGGTGGCATTAATCCACTTTTTTTGGAAGTCATTTTTATTAATTGTTAGTCCACCTGTCTTACGAAGAACTCATTTAACTATTGCCCAAAAATCTTCAGTTTTGCGCTGTTCAGGACGATTTGAAGAATTCGCATCTTTAGGAACAATTTTCACATTATTATCTTTGCACCACTGTAAAACTTTTTTAGAATAGTGAGAGGCAGCAAGATTGGGCCAAAAGAGACATCGGTATTTGTGTTTTTTTATAAAAGACAAAAGTTTTTTTTGGAGGCATTCTTTGATGTAGAGATTGGCAATCAAGGTCTTTTTAGTGACAAAACAAGAGAACTGCATACCACAGCTACAAATTGCTTGCCACACAAGGAACTTGGATGCAAATTTTTCTCGTCGAATATATTTAAATTGATCATCGACAGGTTTATTTTTGTTTTCATAGTAAAACTGTTGACCAGGAAGTTGTGAAAAATCCGCCTTGCAATACGTTTCGTCGTCTTCAATTATGCACATATTTTTATCTGCCATTATTTTAACCAACTTCTTTGCGCGTCAAATTCCTTTAATTTCACAACTTAAGCTTCTCTTCTGTGTATTTTTTTTATGAAATGCTTTAATTCCAGCATTTTTAAGTACTTTTTTAATATAAGAATGAGAAGTCTTAAATTTTCTTGCTAGATCTCGCTGTGACTGATTTGGATTTCTTGCTATTGAACGTAAAATCGACTTTACCTTTTTGGATTTATGGAAAGTTTTTTTTCTTCCACTTCCAAGTTTTCTTTCCAAGCTTTGAGTAGTCTTGAACTTGTTTATAATTTCTATGACTGTAGATTTTGGGACATTTGTGCGTTTAGCAATCAAGCGATAGGAAGTCGATGGATTTTTGCAAAAAAAAATTAACAACTTTTTTACGCACCTCAACTTGTTTCGAAAACATTTTGCAAAACGTTAATTTGTTATAATATTTTACTAAACAACAATTTATCAACACTATTTAAGATAAGCCATTTAAAATAAATACACCATTTAAGATAAGTAAACAAAATTTAATACCATTTAAGATAAGTAAACAAAAATTTATCTACACTATTTAAGATAAGGAAGTAAGGTTTAATTAAAAAAAATTAAATATAAAACATTTGTGGTTTTGAAGAAATCTCAATTTAAAGATGACCGAATTTTTCCGTGTCCACCCGATATTTATGTAATAACAAAAGTTTATTGACTTATTTTTTTACGCATGTTGCATAAGAGTGTCAGTATTTTGTGAATCAGGCCAGAAAATTGGATCAAGTCATAATGAAATTTTCTTGACTTTATTTTTAGCTGAATACAAACCGTTTTTAGTTAAACATATAAACACTCAAATAAACCAAGATAAATCCTTCCTATAAATCAGCTAACGTTTGTGAAGAGTTCATCAAGCAACTTGGCAATTCACTTTTATAAACAACTGGTTGTTATAAGTCGCTTTCATATCTTATTTGAATTTAAAATTGCTTTTAAAAAAAATTGACAAGTTTAAGAAAAATATTTTTTGTATTGTCAAATTTCTTTCCTTTAGTAATTGAACTTAAAGCTGCCAAATATTATTGAATTATCATTGATTCAACTACAAACGATTTATACGTAGATTAACTAATTTTGTCGTTCAGTAAGAAATGACTGACGGAAAACAGTTGAAAATATTTTTATCATTAATTCAAATGAAAAGACACGACGCAGCTCATATATTTAATCTTGTCAAAAAGACAAATGAGATGCACGGCATCAACATTGCTGTTGGTAGTCGTATGAAAATGCTTCTAATATCTGTAAAGTCTATACTAGGGTTGAAAGCCTATTTTAAGTAAAATCCACTATAAGAATATGTTTCTTGCGCTGGCCATTTTTCAATTCTGGTTGGTGTTGCAGCTGAGTCTTGTGTGGCACCTACTTCTTTCTTGGGCTACTTCAACAGGTAGATAACTTTCTTTCTATTTCAACGCATCGCTTAGAAGTATTGATATTAAAACTGAAAAAGAGTGAAAAATGTTCTTACACAAACTGAATGGTATGGATGTGCAGATGCGTGTTCTGATATTCAAACGAATGGTATGGATGTGCAGATGCGTGTTCTGCTATTTAATTGAATGGTATGGATGTGCAGATGCGTGTTCTGCTATTCCAATGAATGGTATGGATGTGCAGATGCGTGTTCTGCTATTCCAATGAATGGTATGGATGTGCAGATGCGTGTTCTGCTATTCAAATGAATGGTATGGATGTGCAAATGCGTGTTCTGCTATTCAAAGGGGGTTTTAAAATTTTTAAAGTATTTATAAGAATCGGTTCAGAATTTAAGATAATTATCAGAATCAGTTCTTTTAAGTTCTTAGTCATCAATAGTACTTATATATTTTGAAATATGCGTAAATATGTTTAGAATAGTATATTTAGAAAAATTTATTTTGAAATTAGTCTTAAAAGAACTGAAAAATGAAAAAACGCAACAGTTGAACAATAAAAGTAGAAGTTAGCAAACTTCTCAGGGAAGAATTTGAGTTGCATTTTCATCGCACGTCCTGAGCTTTTAAAAATCTACACAAACAATGCGGACATTTAATTTCCAAATGAATGCCTGCATTTCAATAACTTGGTTTTCGCTTTTATTGATTTTAGTGGAATTGGATTGGTGCCGGTGACCCAAGAAACTTTTATCACGTTCCCTAATGTCGATGATTTTCTAACCAGGGCTGCGGAGTTGGAGTCGCAACATACTTAGCGAAGTCGGAGTCGCTAAAAAAAAATGCGACTCTAGCTCCAATATTAAAACTTGTCGGTATTGCATATGCATGTACAAAATATTCAATTAACCTTGTATTCATACTAAATCTCAAAAAACTTTTCATAAATTTGGTAAAAAATTTTTTTCTAACTAATTGCATAATAATTTTCAAAGAATTCAAAGAGTTTTTCAAAAATTTTGCTTTGGAGTCAGAGTCGGAGCGAGTACTTTTTTTTTACCACTCCACACCCCTGGTTCTAAGGATATTATTTTCTGCTGCTGTTACACATTGTGTAAGTAAAAAACAAAGATTTTTCAATGCTTATTATTGAACTACCTTGTTCCCAAAATTTATTTTTGTAAAGTTTGTTGGTTTTTGATCTTGTGAAGTAATTTATTACGTAAAGCATTTAAAAAAAAAATCATTATTGCGTACATATGTGAGGGAGGGTGATGGGGAGGCTAGAGAGGCTACAATTGTTTAATTGGAGGCCAGTTTAACCTAAAGTTTATGTTGAAAAAAAATTTTTTTATTGTGTTATTTATAACCAGTTTTAGGTATGAATATATTTAGACAAAAGACTTAGATTTAATATAACTTAATATATTGTTAGACAGAAAGTAAAAAGCGTAAATAGTTAAAAAATATTAATCTACAGTTGTTGTATTTTAAAAGTATTTCCCTTTTGCAACTCATATGACGAGAAACGATGATGTAATACAATTGACGAGTAGCTATGATGTAACACATATGACGAGTAACTATGATGTTTAATAGTATTTTTATTTATGTTATTATATAAGGTTTTTATTAATGCTATTAATTTTTTTTGTTTTTTTAGTTTTGTTATTTAGGTGCCCCAAGAAGACCTAACGGTCTTGTCACAGAGCACCGCGGATGTGCATTTACCCAGGAAGTTCACGCCTCCTTCCTTATCATGACGCAATATATGTCCAGAGCTCGTTTCAAACCTGGATCTCCTGCTTTTAAAGCAAGCGCTCTAACCACCGCGCGACGGCCACAAAACACATTACTTGTTTTTATAAAAGTTTTATTTATGATTTTAGTCATTACATTTTTTATTTTTATTATTGCTATTGTTATTATTATTGTTATTAGTATTATTTTTATTGTTAACATTACCGCAGCTTTCAAGCCAATTTTCTAGCTTATAAGTGTTTTACGCAAACATACAACTCTTACATTCTTTTTATACACGCACTTTGTGTGATTGTGTGTGTGTGCGTGTGTGTGCGTGTGTGTGTGTGTGTGTGTGTGTGTGTGTGTGTGTGTGTGTGTGTGTGTATGTGTGTGTGTATGTGTGTGTGTGGCTAGTTATGTGTTTATTAAAATTTTTATTACTGTTTTTACTTTTAGAATATTAACAAAAAAAGGTGTTCGATTTACCAACGAAATTGAAAATCCAAAAACTAATGTATTTGATTCAACTAACATTACTATTTCCAATCAGTTGTAACTAACTCCAACTAAACTTTAAGCTTCGTTTATTGCATGTAAATATTGAACAAGTTTTTAAAAATATTTGAAGACAGTTTGTATTTAAACAGTTTTAATTATTAATGGTATATTTTATAAACATTAAGTGATGTTTTTTTAAAATAATGCTAGGATTATGTTTGTCTGGAATGGGAAGTCTGAAATGGGAAGTCTGACTTCCCTAGTTTCATTTTTCAAAACAACTACCTGATATTTCTTCTGCATATTCTTACCATCAATGTGTAAACACCACTGTTCATTTTTAAAATTTTCCTTGAAATTTCTTTTTAGCTTTTCTCTTCACTTTTCTTGGATGTATCCCTTGCGTGTCTGCTTTTGTGGTGCAATATCCTACTTTACCTTTTGTTGAAACCTGCAGTTCATAAAACTCCCTGTCTTCTCTGCACAACCATTTTCCTTTTTTGTCTCTTACATTAAACAATTTACTAAAATCATTGTTTTCAGGTCTTCGAGCATGCTTTTCATAAGTTTTTATTACATTCTCAACTTTGCGTGCAACCGTAGATCTACTTTGTTGAATTGGCATTCAAATTATTCCATAGGCCTTTCATTTCATCTGCTATCATTACATTCGCTCTTTTCTACATTTTACATAAGAAGCCAGAGTTTTAAATCTGTCGAAGATATTCTGCTCCATTTAAATTCTTCGCATCTGATATATATATATATATATATATATATATATATATATATATATATATATATATATATATATATATATATATATATATATATATATATATATATATATATATATATATATATATATATATATATATATATATATTATATATATATATATATATATATAAATCAAAAGAGCACATCGATTGGGATCGAGAAATGAAAGATTGGGATCGAGAAACACAGAACGATAGTTATAAAATTAATAAATTATAAAAACAAAACTGAAATACTCAAAAAATCGTTTAAACTCAAAGGTAAAAACATCTTTATAAATGAAGACTTCAGTACTGAGACTACAGAAATTAGGAAGAGTTTGAGAGAACGCCTGAAAAAAGAAAGGAAATCCGGCAAATTTGCGGTCATATCTTATGACAAACTAGTCATTCGCGAATGGACTGCGAAGAAACGAGATGCTGTTTCCACTGAATCTATACAAGTATTCATATATTTTTATTTTAACTAGTTTCTCCATAGTCTTAATTTTTATATTTTAAAAAGGATGATAATTTATTAATTAAACTTTTTGATGAAAATGTCACAATTTGTGATAATGACGATACTAACTATTTAACTAAAAATCATTAGAAAGCAAATACTATTCAATTTCTGAATCTAATTTTAATCTTCAACAAAATAAAAAGACATTTTCAATCTTAATCATTAAAATTCGAAGCCTAAACAAAAATTTTGAAGATTTTAAACTTCTAATGCACGAATTAAATTACAATTTTAAAATAATCTGTCTTACTAAGACGTGGTGTAAATATAACGAGCATAATTTACAATTTAAATTGACGAATTACGCGTCAATTCATCAATCACGAAACTTCCGTGCCGATGGAGGTGTATACATTTTTATTCATACAGGCAAGTTTCCACTCATCCGTTTTTCACGGGAACGGATAGGAACGGGATAAATAATCATGTGAGCATGCGTAATTTTTCTTCAGACATATTAGAAGTTATTTTACGCATGCCCACGTAATTATTTTTCCCGTCCCTTTCCCGTTCCCGTGAAAAAACGGATGAGTGGAAACTCACCTTAACTCTGTTAACTTTATACCACGTAATGACCTCAGTGTGAATGGAAAAGATTACGAGTCATTGTGCATTGAAATAGTTTACCGAAATTTTAAAAACATAATTGTTAATGTTATTTATAAAGAACCAGCGGGTAATTTAAAAAATTTTAAAGCTTGCTTACGTAATATTTTAAAAAAAAGTTAATAAAAAATAAAAGCATATTTACTTAGTCGGTGACCTGAATATTATTCTTTTGAACCATGCGCCAAATAACAGGGTTAAATATTTTGTAAACACTCTTTTACAAAATAATTTCATTCCAACAATAACAAAGCCATCAAGAATCACAACAAGTTTCTCTACCCTACTGGATAACATAATTACTAATAATTTTTCTAATAGCTGCTTTAGTACAGGTATAATAAAGACTGACTTGACAGACCATTTCCCCACATTTCTTATAAGAAAAAACATAACCCCTGATAATATTCCCATAAAACATATTATTTTTAAGCGACAGATTAATGAAAACTCCATGAAACAATTTCGTAACCTTCTTATTAACTTCGTTAATTGGGAGCTTGTTCTTCAATCACGTGATGCTAACAATGCTTATGAACTTTTTTAAGCGCAATTTTGTAAACAATACAAAAAAGCGTTCCCTGTAAAAAAGTTTTATAAAAACTCAAAACCACTTCTATCGCCTTGGATAACAAAAGGTTTACTAAAATCGTCAAAAAAAAAAAAAAAACTTTATAAAAAATTAAAAAAAAAAACATATTCAAATGAAGCAAAATATAAAAACTATAAAAATATATTTGAAAAAATCAAAAAATACCCTAAAAAATTATATAATTCGAAATGACTAGAAAAAGCAAATGAAAATACTCAACAAACTTGGAATGCTTTTAAAGAAATAATTGGGCAAAACAAATATAAAAATAACGCTTTGCCAAAAAAACTTTCAATTGACGATGAATCAATTTATGATAAAGCATTAATAGGTGAAGAATTTAACAGTTTTTGTCATTAATCTTAGCTCTAATTTAGCACGACATATTCCTCCAACTTCTTTAACATTTGATTCTTATCTAACAAATTCTAATAAAAAAATGAAGAGTCGAAGCCAGATAAATGTGAGTTGCGTAGTGCATTACTAAGCTTAAAAAGTAAAAAAGGTGCAGGATCGGATAAAGTTAGAGTTAATATATTAAAATTAGTCTATGATATAATTGAACCATCTTTGTTTCATATCTTCAATCAGTTACTTAAATCAAGTAAAGTATCAGAAAATTTAAAAATTGCTTTAGTGACTCCAGAATTTAAGTCTGGAGTTGAGTCAGACCCTTCTAATCACAGACCTATATCTGTTTTGTCTTGTTTCTCGAAATTTTTTGAACGCATAATGTACAATAGGCTGTATAATCATTTAACTGAAAACAACATGTTATATAGTAAGCAATTTGGTTTCAAAAAACAACATTCAACAGATCACGCAATAGTAGAGTTAGTTAATCACTTATCTAATCCATTTAAAGAAGACTGTTTTAAGTTAGGAGTTTTCACTGATCTGTCCAAAGCTTTTGATAAGGTAAATCATTCCATTTTAATAAAAAAACTGGAATATTACGGAATAAAGGAGACAAACTTACTTTGGTTTGAAAATAACCTTTCAAACAGAAAAGAATACCTACAATTTGAAAATTTAGAAACGACCAAAAAAACTATAGCTTGCGGAGTCTTGCAGGGTTCTATACTAGGACATTTTACTTTACTTTTCTTACTATACATAAATGATTTGTCTTCAACGTCAAACCTATTAAATTTTATTTTATTCGCAGATGATTCGAATCTTTTTTATTCTCACAAAAATATTAAAACACTTTTTACAGTAGTAAATAAAGAACTAAATAAAGTAAATGAATTGGTCTTTGAATGTTCAAAAAACAAAATTTTCTCTTTTACACAAACTAAACAAAACAAAAAAAATACCGCTTATTCTGCCCAATCTCTTAATAAATAAAACTAATATTAAAAGACAAACATCTGTAAATTTTTTAGGTGTGAAATTTGATGAAAATTTATCATGGAAAACACATATAAGTTCAATAGAAAAAAAACTCTCAAAAAACATTGGAATGATCTATAGAGTTAGGCCAATTTTAAGTTTCAAGTTCTTAAAAAATTTATATTTTTCTTTTATACATAGTTACTTAACTTACGGCAACATCATATGGGCAAGTACTACCACTAAGCTAAAAAAACTTTATAGCAAACAAAAACATGCTGTTAGAACCATATTTGGAGTTGGTAGAGCGATTCTTTGTGAACCTCTTTTACGTATAATTGGTGCCTTGAATATTTTCAAACTTAATATCCATCTTGTTCTACAGTTCATATATAAAACAAAATATGGACTGTCCCCAAAAATCTTTGAAACTTATTTTAAAGAAATACACCATGAATATGCTACAAGATTTTTGCAAACCACTTTGCTATTCGAAAATCTCATTCTAAACAGAATTCTTATTCAACTCAGAACCGCGAACCACTTTTGTGGAAAAGATTCCTAAACATTGTTTCCGTAAAGAAAACTGATTTAAAACAGTTTTTATTAAACACAGATTTTGATTTATTTTATTATAAGTCTTTTTTTTAAAATATATCAGATATATCAATTATAAATAAAAGCAAGGTTACTGTTCCTTGAAATCATAAAAAAAAAGTTAAAAATTTATTGACAATAACCGTTATCCCAAATCACAAATTTTTTTCTTTTTCTTTTTTGTGTGTATATATTTATACTCATGTATGTGTATATTTGTTCTTATTTATGTGTGTATGTGTATGTGTGTATATGTATATATGTATGTGTGTATGTGTATATGTATATATATATATTGATAGGTGTTATAAAACTTTTAAAGTCAGCATAGACTACAAAGGATACTCTCATAGATTTTTTAAAATTATTAAACTTCATCATTGTGTTTGGCTTTGGAAGTTCAATACGCTCTGAATTATAAGTATCGGAATACAATTTAAATTTTAATAAAGATTCTTTAGGACTTAATTCTAACAAGCAATTTCTACAAAAGTGCTTTTTACCATTATGTTTAAATATTGAAGATTGTAATCTGCTTAAACTTTTTCTTAATCATTAATGATTAGTCTCATCATTTGAAATTAGTAATTAATCTATTTGATATTGTCTGTTTTTATTCTCAGATATGCGTAAAGTGTATACTGAACTTTTATATCTAAAGACATTGACACTTATATCTTGATTTTTTTTCTCAAATTGAGTAATTCGATTAAATGACACTGGGAATTCTATTTTTTCTCAATTTAATTTAACAGCTTGTTCTTTTAGATCTTAATTGCTTTTGATA